CTGTATGGGTGTATATGTGAGTCCTGCCTGACCTGGCCCAGCCCAGCCCAGCGCCCAGACACAGTCAAGAATATGGGTGATGAAGTCTGGAGTCCCAGCCGGCTGGGGCCCCACCTGACTTTTGCCCTCTGTCCTCCTTCTCCTGCCTCCATCCCAGATATAGACGAGTGCCGCTACCGCTACTGCCAGCATCGCTGTGTGAACCTGCCCGGCTCCTTTCGTTGCCAGTGCGAGCCGGGCTTCCAGCTGGGGCCCAATAACCGCTCCTGTGTGGGTGAGACTTGGCTGGGCCAGGCACCTGGGTCCTGGACAGGGTGGTATGGGGTGGGGAGCTCCTTTCTTGATCATTCCAGGTAAGCAGGTGAAATGGTGGCTCTGGGCTGCTCCTCAGCTTTCACTCCTCTCCTGTTTTTCCTGGCACCCCCAGATGTGAACGAATGTGACATGGGGGCTCCATGTGAGCAGCGCTGCTTCAACTCCTATGGGACCTTCCTGTGTCGCTGCCATCAGGGTTACGAACTGCACCGAGATGGCTTCTCCTGCAGTGGTGAGAGCTCCACCCCTGCCAACTGGTTCCTCCATTGGTCCCCCGGCCCTGTGTCATGCTGCGCCTCCTGCCACATAGTCCTCCATTCGATGCCTCCATGTCTCGTCCGTTCTGCACCCATGTGCCTGTGTACTCCACCCCCAGCTGGTTGCAGAACTCCCAGTCTGGTGGGAAGGCACAGAGGGCAGTTAGGTTCCCACTGAAGCTCAGTGGGGAGACTGAACAAGGATGTGGGTGCCTCCCCCCTCCCTGGGAGTCAGGCTGACCTGCATTCAAATCCTGGATTAAGGCAAATCACTCTTCTCTCTAAACCCACTTATTCACCTGTAAAATGGGTTGTCTTGAGGATTAAGTGGGAAAATGACAACAGACAGGTAGGCTTCAAGTCCCAAGCAGCAACACTTTAAAGTGAACACCGTTTATTGAGACACTGCCCTGTGCAGGGCGCTTCCTACATCCTTGGCCTCATTTAATCCTGCCCACAATCCTATGAGGTATGATTTTTTTTCCTTTCTCTGCAAAACGAGGACATTAATATCTCCTTTAAGGTTTATTGGGAGGATTGTAAGAAAATAATAAGCATAAAGTCCTTCAGTGAAGAGAGATTAAGTGAGTTGCCCAAGGTTACACAGCTAGGGTGAAATGGGGCCGCGGCTCCATCCCGTTCTCATTCCATGTCATCTGGCCACATACCCTGTTTATATTATGCTTTGCTGCCAAGTTAAGGCCCCATTGGTACCTGGCTCAGTGCTAGGCAGCATGAGAGAAACCAGAGTAGGAAACCTGGCTCCTGACTGTTTGCAGCTCACAACTGGCAGGGGGCACTGTGTGCCAGGGATGATTGTGGGTTGCAGGAATTGGGCAAGTTATTGAAAACCAGAGCAGACTGGACCCTCAAGGCTCAGCTAGACTAACCTACTCATTTTTTTTTATATCCTCAAGATTTTATTGTCTTCATGACAAAAATATGAAGTTTAGAGACTGGATGACTTGGCCCTTTCTCTTCTTATCCCCTCCCAGTTCAGAATGCTTGCATCTTTTTATAGCCAGCACTCTCTAAGATCTGCAGTTGGGCTCAAAACATTCAAGCTTCAGGACAATCTTCTCTGTAGTTTTAGCCTTTTTGCAGAGAATTGGCTTAGCCTGTCCACTATAACCACTCCGCTTCCTATCATGTCTCTTTCCCTGTGTAGAGAATCCTTGCCCTTGTACTGTCACTTTGTGGGGTGGGTACTTGCCACACTTCCTAAAGATAGTCCAGCGGGTCTTAGAAACATTTGCCATGTTTGTGAGAGTGCTATCGGCACGGAAAGTAACCTACTCATTTATTGACAGGGAAATTGAGGTTTCCAAAACTCAGTCAATAGGATTTAAAGCCAAGCCCCTAGATTCCCAGTGCTTTCATTTATTTTTGTCTTACAGTCCTGGGACAAAGAGAGAGAGAGAGGTCTGTGAGCTGGGTACTCTGGGCAGACCTTTCTTTGAATCCTCTGTCCCCCAATTGTGCTTTACACATCTCGGTCTCATCCTCCTCTGTCTTCTCCCATTGAGCCTAAGATGGGGCTAAGCTCTTTCCGTAAACGTTTATGGGACTGAATTGAGAGGATTTTCCTTGACCCAGTCTTCATTCCCACTCTCCCTCAGATATTGACGAGTGCAGCTACTCCACTTACCTCTGCCAGTACCGCTGCGTTAACGAGCCAGGTCGTTTCTCGTGCCACTGTCCACAAGGCTACCAGCTGCTGGCCACACGCCTCTGCCAAGGTACAGGTTACCCAGGGCAGGGTGGCGTCAGGGGTTGGTTGGCCTGACGTCCAGGTTCTAGCCCCTCTCCCCTGACAGACATTGACGAGTGTGAGTCCGGCGCACACCAGTGCTCTGAGGCCCAAACCTGTGTCAATTTCTATGGGGGCTACCGCTGTGTGGACACCAACCGATGCGTGGAACCTTACGTCCAGGTGTCTGACAAGTGAGTCAACTTGATGCCAGGCCCCTACCTAAACTACAAATCCAGAGGGCTCTAGGGCTGGCTGGCATCTATTAGGACTGGCAAGTGCCCTGAGGGCTGATGGGAGTTATAGTCCTTCACCACTAAACCATGCACGCTGTTATAAGTGGGAGGATCCTTTCAGGATCCTAATTTTGGTGGGCCAAATTTGGGGAATGGGCTAGGACCTCATTTGTGTCCCCATCTCGGGTTCCTAGTCGCTGCCTCTGTCCGGCCTCCAACCCCCTGTGCCGGGAGCAGCCCTCATCCATTGTGCACCGCTACATGAGCATCACCTCAGAGCGGAGTGTGCCCGCTGACGTGTTCCAGATCCAAGCGACCTCTGTCTATCCCGGCGCCTACAATGCCTTTCAGATCCGTGCTGGAAACTCGCAGGGGGACTTCTATATTAGGGTAAGGCTTTTCCCTAACCCCACCCCTCAAATGACATGCATAATCCAAAATTGAATTCCAGGAAACCTTAAGTGGGAGATTCCGTTATGCCACCATGCCCCGCCTCTTCTCAAAGCCCCGCCCCCAGGAGGCAGACTTTCCATAGAAAGGTAGGGGTGTTCTAAATTCCCTTGGTACCAACTACAGATTGTTAAATGCAAATCTCACTATCACTAGGCACTCAGACACTGGGGTTTGAGTTCCGCCCCCCCG